TATGTTATATAAAAGCTGTTTGTGACATTGCTATGTTTAGCCATCACATACAGAGCTGCTGTACCCACCTAAGACTGACTCATCCTGTGTTTTCACATTTTTCAGCTTCCCTTCAATCTACCAGTAACCCTCAGAAAGTGGAGGAAAACATAAAAATTTTTTCTCCAACAGACACTTTTAGTGTTTTTCCTCAGGGTTATTCTTGTGTCAGATTACTTTCTTGTGAACGTACCACCAAACAATTCCTACTTGCACTAAAATCAATAATGCTGTTTCTTAATACTATGTAGGACCAGATTTTTATATTCTTATACTGATACTCTGACACTTAGGTTAGGTCTACATTGCTGAGAAAAGAAGGAAAAAGTTGCAATTTACTTATCTTTTTCTGCGTTTTTTTCTGAAAGAGGCTCTTCCAAAATTTGGCCCATCTCTCACGGAGAGAAATACAGGGATGCCGAAAGAACACGTCTGCTTTTTCAGAAACTGTTCCGAAAAAGCAGACGCGTTCCTTGGACACAGCAGAGCTTTTTCAGGATTTCTCACTTAAGACAACTCATGGAGCAAGGCACGACTCAACATGAGTAAGGGTATATAGATGAAAGTTAGTTCCTGCATATGATTACTTCAGACTCTCTGCAAAGTCAAAGATGTATTTAAGTTCTTTGCTAAATCTGAGATCTAGTCTACAGGATCCAATCTTAAATGCAAAGGGCTTGTCTTTACAGTTACAGTGCTGTAGTGCTTAGCAAAGCACTGTCTATATGCCAAAGGAGAGCTTCTTCTATATACCTAGGTAGTCTATCTCCCCAACAAGCAGTAGCTCCCTCAACAGAAGCCCTTCCATCGATACCGTGCTGTGTACACAGGTCGGTATACAAATGTTGCTCAGGGTTGTGTTTTTCATACTCAAGCAACACAGTTATACCAATACACACTCATAGCATAGATCAATCCTTAGTGTTTTCTGTCAGGTATTGAATCTTCAGTGGGAGCTAAGAAGACTTAGCACCTTACAGGAGTGCCACAACAAGAACTACATTAAACTGTAATACTCATTTTTAAGGAAGAATTAAAAATACTGAAGTATTATATATGAACAGCCAAACTGGATCAGATCAGTGGTCCTTTGACTCAGGCCTAACATTCTGTCTCCCAAAAGTGGCCAATGCCAGCTTCCCCAGAGGGAATGAACAGAACAGGTAATCATCCACCATTTCCTACTTCTGTCACACTTCACACACAGTTTCACATCCCTGCCCATCCTGGCTAATAGCCATTTCTGGACCTATCTTCCACATGAACTGACCTAGTTCTTTTCTTAGGCATGTAATAGCCTTGACCCTCACACCATCCTCTGGTAAAGAGTTCTACAGACTTATGGTGCCTTGATACAAGTTAACATCCTGCATTTTTTCAGACATACTGATTTTTAAAAGATTCCTAACAATTAGAAAATAGATTACATCTAAGGGAAAAAAGTGTGTCCTGCAATCAGGAGAACTGGAATAATTTTTATATGGGGGGGAGGAGCTGTTGATGGAAACCATGCATTTGATGTTTATTGTTACTAGTTGAAGCAAGGGTGTGTGGCAGCACCCCTAATACCTCTAGATCCACAGGGCAGAAGACCCAATGTAGAGTAAATTATGTAATGTTTAGCCCAACTTGTTCCCAGTCCCCTGAATGAAGGGCACCTTGCCAGAAATTCACTGTAGTGCTAGTTACAATGTAGGACATAAACCGGCTCTCTCCTTATGTCTGAGGTAATTTAAGAGGCATGTTAGTATGCACTTGGATTTCAAACATTATTGTTCTGATTTGTGAAGAAAAGGAATGCTTACTACTGTCATTTGAAAATTCTGTAAATATTATTGACTTTACCTGTTTTCCCTGTCTAGTTTTAGACCCATATAATTGAAAACAAAACATTAATGTTATTGATGTTAAACAAGATTTTTCATTGTGTAGCTTTTTTATAATAAAAAGCATAATTAGAAAAACATGTTTTGTGGAACCGTTCCATTCCACTAAAAAGGAAACAAAACACTATTTACTCAAGATAAGAAGATTAAGCCCCCGATTTTCCTTTAAGGATCCACATAAGGATGGCCTTTCAGATTATGAAAATTGAGAATCTGGCTTCCCTCAGTGTCCAAGCTATTCAAAACCCATTTTCCTTTGAACATCTGAGTTCTTATCGTGGTCAACCACCAGAGGATGAATAACTCAAGCTAATGAGATCTACACCAGTCGCAGGAGTTCAATAACAAACCAGAGATCATATTCTCCCCCATTTCTCTGAAGATTGAATTTCCTTCTTTCACTTTGATAGAGGATGATATAACCTATTTTTAAATAATCTTCATTTCTCTTTGAGATGCAGAATGCTGGAAAGACTATCTTGGTGGCCTTTTGGCAGCTGTCTTTCTCCCAGCATACTGGTATTAAAGGACCACCTCTCCATGTCTTCTGAAGTTCTCCTTGAAGTCAGATCTAATGGTTGAATATCTTACCACTATGTACCCCTAGTAAGGAATTAAGGGAGCTAAGCAGAGCAGCAAAAGTGGGATTGTGCAGTCATGGTAAAGACACTATTTACTCTTCTGAATCAGGACTAAGCTTCACAGGTGCCAAGCCACAGAAGCCCACTGAGTTTCCATGATTCTGTTCCTAAGCCAAATATGACCCTGAATAGAGAGTTTCAAGTCTGTAATGGAAATGTTATATATATATTTTTCCCCAAAAAAGCCCTTTGTGGTGAGTTAAAGACTAATCCTAACTGAAAATTAGTAAATTATTTTAAAGATGTTATTTTATAAAGACAATTTAGTGCATGTGAAAAGTATATTGGCTGTCTGAAGAAATAATTCTTTATACATAGACCAGGTTTCCCAGGGGAAACAACAGTACACTACTCTCCCCTCTTTTCTGCTCTGCTTCAACCCTGACTGGGACAGCACCTTCTACAGTTGCTAAGGCACCACTGTTTTGCCTTTGTGTCTGTTCAGTCCTTGTCCTCTGTGCTGAGACTGCCAAACTAACATCATTTTGATGTAGACAACTGTCCACTGGGAATGCAGATGAGAGCATCTAATCATTTTAAAGAGTTCAAAATGCAACCATCACATGGTGCTAACTTTCAGTCACTACAAACCTGCCTCCAAACTGAAATAGTTACAATGAGGTGAAAAGCTTTGTATCTTATTTCTAATCCTCTGGCCAGCTAGTCCTCTCTGTAAGATAATTTTTGCCAGATCATATTAATTATTCCAACCTGATAGATCTACATTACATGCTTCCCAACATACTGTATTTTGACTTAAGCCATCTGATTTATGCCATGCCTTCTGGTGAGGATTGTTGAAAAATACTGTAGAGCTTGCAATCTATTTGGCACAATATAATGGAATGTATTGCATCAAAATAAAGAACATTGAGGTAAAAACTGGTATTATGTGGAGCTCTAGTGGTAGTAAGGAAGTAAAGCAGCACATAACACCAAACCAGACAATGGCAGAGGATGTCCTGAGCCTGAAAACAGAATAGTAGGAAAGTGACAAGATTAATTTAAAACAGTTAACATGAAAAGACAAAACTGTTTGATGCTTCAGGATTATGGAATACACCTCTGTATATATACATAATATTGTTCTTTACTGCTAAATCTTGAACTTTGTCAGTGTTTAATAGCTAAGCATTAGGAATATTAAATTCAGGCTGTATTCACAACTCATTAATTTTTGGTTGATAAAATTATTATTGCTTTCACCCTTCTACTCCAATTGTATAATATTTCTTATCCTAGCTCGCAAAGAGTTGAGTAACTCCATGCATGCTGTTATACACTTCTGTTCAAACAATCATATGCCCCATATCATGCTAGTGGCTAAGATTTCTATATAGGATAGTTTTTAAAAGATACTATCAGTTGCATTATCAGCAAAATGCTATGCCAACTGTCACAGGGAGTTTCATTCCTGAGGTTCAATAATCCCCAAAAGTTGATGAGTTTGTCATGAGTTAATCCCTTGACTAGAAGAGCCTTCAATTCCTACTTTGCAGTCTCATATCCTACTGATATACTAATAATTTATACAAAAAACACTGTCAAATATTGATTCACTATATCCCATCTCTCGATGTATGTCAAAATCCTGATCTCTTAAATAAAGAGCCATTTTTTCACAACATAATACTTATATTTCATACTGTACAACCATGGTGCCCCATCACACACAATGTCTGTGTCTCTACAGTATCTATTAAACACCAGCATTATCTTCACAACTTCTGAGGAGTAAAAATACGTGGTATAACTCAACAGAAGTCTAATAATCAAAATGAAATTATTCTTTATCAGTAACCTAAATATAGCACCAGACCACACATAGAAGAGAACATCATGCAGAAAGAAGCAGAAAGCTACTGTTTGGTTCCACAAGCAACTGACCCTACCACAACAGAACTCAATGCTGAAGTCCTTACTTAGACAACACTCCCACTGAATTTCTTGGGAGTACTGCCTGAATCCGGGCTTCAGTATTGGGCCCACATTCCTTAAAACAATATACAGTATGAGACTGTCACTTTCTAAACTACCATATTAACCATGAAGAAGAATACAACTGGATAACTAAAACGTTCATAGGTACGAGGGCATATTTAAACAGAACCCGAATGTTATTTTTCATCATATGAAACTAGAGGCATATAGGAAATATATTTCTTCTCGTTAAGTTAACACATAGGCTTGGTTACACTTTTTAAGCATCCCTTGGTCTAATTTTATTTTCATTGATTTTTTTCTAATCTTTTGCCACCTCACAATGGAAACAGGGTAACACTCCTCTCACTCAAAGGTGGAGCTATTAAAAGGTGTATCTCCCACATTATAATTAATATTTGCTGTTATTACATATATAGCTGACAGCCACAGGAAGAAAAAAAGTCAAAATCCTCAGACTCCAAGGAAACATTTCAAAGTTGTTCCTGTTTACCTGCTGGGCAGTTGCACTCTGGAGGCACTTCTCTTGCTATTCTTATTTTTGCCAAATGCTCGTAGGATTTCTGTGAGGGGAAGGGGAAACATTAGCCAGCTTGGTAAGCATTAGCTCATTCTATTACAGCCCGGATTATAGACTTGCATGTGTTAAACTATGATTTACAGCTACTTGAAAGACTGCATAACTAATGATGACTTTTTTACTTGGACTTGATCCAAACTGTATCAGTTGACCGATACACCCCAACCACAACTTGAGCATTTTACACACAGAGAGAGATGGGTTTCTACCCATGGCAGCTTTACTTGTGTGGTATCACCTCTCCATAGAAAATACCTCCTCCCACACACATAGCATCTAGAGCCTAAGATTAAATGTAGAAACTTGGGCTCCTCGGGTGGGAGAACAGTCAATGACATTATACACGAAGGTTATCTTCTCTATCACGTTATGTCAGCCTCTGCTGCCAAACCGGCTAGAGAGATCCTTACCACGGCCCTTTCAAACCCAGACCGTACTTTTACAAGGGCTTCTTGTCATCCAACGCACCCGAGGTAAAGCATTTATTGGAATCAACGATATTTAACTAAGGGGATTTCCCTTTTTCCTCTATGAGATCTGATTATCTTGCAAACATGAGCAAAAAGTCCCTGTCTCTTGAGTTCTCCTCTACCCTCTGCCACACAAACATTTGCGTCAAGGAGCTGTCTACTTTTTCCACTCAATGGTCCCCCTCGCTCCGTTCCCTCCCCCGCCCCCCAAAATCATTTCCAGCATGAATCTTGGGGGGATCGGTTTGTGAAGCAGAAACTCGTGTTGGAAGTGGCTAATTAAAGGCTTTTCATGGGACACCACGATCCCGGCCACGTCCAGACACAACACCGAGTCTTCCACACCTGAGCTAGAAGTCGCTCCACTTTTTCTTGCATCATTGAATTTAGCTGATCCAGAGAGAAGCCGGGCAGCAGCTGGTAGGAAGCAGCAGCAGAGAAGTCCCCTTGGGCGCTCTCGATGGCAGAGACCCTCGCGTGTAGGTCGCTGGTCTTCACCCCCAGATACACACAGCAGGCTACAGCCGCCACTGACAGGAAGGCGGCCAGCAGCGAACTGAGGGGCAGAGTCCAGCTAGGGCAGCAGCGCTGTCCCCCAAGGCAGCGAGGCGCCCCGGGGCCATCCTGTCCTTTGGCTTCTTGGCTTTTCCCCAACATGCTTTTCCACCCTGCAGATGCAGCAGGATTTTTTTTGCTTCGTCCGCCCTCCCCTTTTCCCCAGTGGGGGCAACTTGTTTGCAGAGGGGGGAGGGAAAAAAAGCGGAAAACAATCAAAGAGCGAGCCCAGCGATGAGTTGCAGGCTTTCAAGGCAAGGAGAGCGCGCGCGGCGGAGCCTTCATGGCCCAGCTCAGCAGGGCACCCCCCCAAACCAGCCGGGCAACAACAAAGCAGCAGGCTGGCGGGGGGAGACGGGAGTTGTTCAGCCCCCCTACCCGCCTGGATAAAGAAAGAAAAAAAACCCCTTTGCTTAGTACCCCAGGAGTGGCGCCCGCCACTTGTCAGCGAGACTTCAGGTGCATGGGGAGGAGACCGGGGGCTAAGGAGGTGGCCCTCGCAGAGACGCAGCGAGCGAACTTGTTGCTTCCCTTTCTCCCCCTCCACCTGGCTGCTGGCGCCGCGCACGGCACGGCGAGGGGGCACCTCGCCAGTGGCTGGTGCCCCAGGGCGCTTGCAGCCCTGCCTAGCCCTCACGCTGTATGTGTGTCAGTGGCACAGCGCGGCGGCGGTAGCAGCAGCAGAGCGGCGGCAGCGGCGGCTTCCTCTCTCCCTCCGCACTGGCCACAGCTCCCGCTACACGCCTCCTCCAAGCCCCCGACAGAACCTCCCGAGCCTCATTAGCATAATTTATTCACCTAGTCCGAGGGGAGGTCGCCCAGCGGGAAGACCGGGGATTCGGCGCTTTGCATAATTTATGCAGAAGCGCCAATCGCTCACCCAACGCTGGTTGGCTGCGCCCGAGTAACGGGCGCGGACGGGCCACTTGCGAGCGGGCGGAGGAGGGGGGAGAGTGATGGGGTTGGGGCTGCTCCATACGGGGCCAGCCTGGGGCACCCGACCCTGCTTCTGGCTCCTGCTTCCCCCCCTCTCCCCCGGGGCTGGGGCGCGCGCCCAAAGAGAACCTTGCGGCAGTGTGTTCTGATTGCTATTAGAACGCTGCATTGTCCGTCTGGAGAGGTGGAGGGTGCGTGGCTTAAGGACAGGGCTTGACTCCATGCCTGGTTTAGTCCCTGCGAAAGCTGGACAACAGCATTACTTCCCCACACTCCGAATTTCCCCCTCTGCTCCACAGACCTCTCAGTACCCAGCCGGCTACACAGCATTGTCCTTGTGTTACCGGGGAGGAAACTGAGGCACGGAATCAGTATGTGACTTGCCCAAGGTGATTCAGCCATTCAGTCTAGGTCTACGCTGCAAAAAAATCTTGCAGCAGACCCACCTCAGTTGACTGAAGCTAGCCGGACGACAAAACTGCAGCGTAGATGGTGCTGCTGAAGCTGGGGCTTTAGGACCAGCCAGGAAGCCTGGGACAGCTGAGTCCAGCAAGCCCTAGACAGCTGACACAGGCCAGCTGCAGGTGTTTTATTGCAGTGTAGACATACCTTCAGTGGCCAAATCAGGAACAGGAGCCAGGTTTTCCAAAACCATGCCCCATTAAGTAACGACTTGGTGACTCACTCAGTTTTCCTGTCTGTGAAGTAGGAGAAATAATTCTTTCCTACTTTAACAGGTGATAAGAGGGTGTTGATATACAATTCATTAATATAGGTTGATATACAATTCATTAATATAGGTAGAATTAAACAGTATTATTAATCATTATTCAGGTGCCATTTTCGAAAGTGGATGCACGACACACTTAAGAATGAAAAGTACATTTGTGTGTACAATTTTGTTGCTATTTGCAAAGTGTGTGCACACACACTCTGCTCAATAGGCTTTATTTTCAAGGTAGGTGTGTGAACCATGCAAAATTCTGAATCTGTTAAAAGAGCTGAACTATTTTCTCTACCCTCTCCTTGGCTAATCTTTTTATCTATTGGAGTTTTGTTTTCGTTTTCCTGAGTTTACAAACATTCTTCTTCACTGTTGCACACACAGCTATGAATTTTCATTATTCCTGATTTGTATGACTAGAAAAGCAATGTTAAATCTACAGTATCACCACATGACCTAGTGGCTATTTCAGTTTTTGTGCTCTTTCTTTCTCTTTCCTGCTAACACTGCATTTACCTGTTACGTTTTGTTTCCCATTTTAGTCTCACCACAATGCAACTGAAAGAGTTGCTGCTGACTAAAAAGAAGTGCTTAACACTTATATAGCACTTTTTATGCTTAGCAAACTTTTCAAACACTAAGGGGCCTGATAGTAGAGTCCTTATTCACTCTGGTGAGCACTTAAAAGAATATTCTCAGCAAAGACAATGGAACGACTCCCATGAGAAAGTGCTCACTGCACTAAATAAGGACTCGATAACCAGACTTCAAATAGATTAACAGAGTTAGTCAGACAATACAGAAAGTGATTTGTGAAAATTTTCACAAACAAAAGCAGCAAGTTCAGAGGGTGAATGTTTTGCTTTGGTGGAATCATTTGTTGTTGAGGAGTATTCAGACAGTCTCTGCTATCATAAAAACTATTTGCAAATCCTCAGAGCTTTATCCATTGTAGCATAAACGATCATTTGTCTGAAAATTTGTAGCAGAAGTGTATTATTCGTAGTTACCCATTTGCTATTTATAATTTGTTTGTTTTTTTCTTTTAATCTAAATTCCCAGTGAGGGAGCAAAACTAATCCCATGCAACTTTAGGTGACCAGTCATTTGCTATAAATAGTGAACAGTTGAAGTGGACAGTTTACAAATACCCGCATCCCCTGCCCCCATCAAAATCACACAGATTATTCTGCCAACATAGATGAATAATGAATACTCTCTTAGGCTCAGTTCAAACACTAGTTCGTAGCAGTAAAGAGCTAAATTTGCAACAAACATTATTTGCAATGTATAATCTTGCCATATGAAACAATGTTCATAACACTCCCTCTTCCCTCAAGCAAGCACTTTTATTTCCATTTACAGCTGGGAATAAGGCAGAGACAAGTTAAGTCTCCTAATTAAGGCCACTGAGAAAGCCAAAATTAAACCCAAGATCATTCCTGCACCTCTCTCAAGGCAAACCATATACTGCTATATTTTGCACTGCATCAACATTAGGTGCTGCTTTATACTGATTAAGGTGAAATTTATGGCAATTTATGTCCATTTCAGAAATGCAGAAACATCCTCTCTTTTGATCCTTCCATGCCCCTAGCAAGGGTTAACATTAGCATAGTATATAATATGAAAAGGAACTACTGTTTGGCTAAGGAGGGGTCACTGCGCATCCTTGCTCCATATGCAACCATCTTGAATTTGGATTAAATTAGAATAGTGCAAAAAATACTACATGCCAGAGAAGAACTAATTAAGTCACAGAGCTGCAAGATTACATGTGAAACCACTAGCTATATCTCTCTGTCTACATACATCTGCCATTATAAAGGTCACCACACAATCCTTAGCAATCCAGATCACCATATTCCCATTGGACAAGTTATAGCTCACATACCATATGTACCTCCTATCTATATCCAGAAAAGTCACAAGAAACCTTTAACTTTCTGTTGCCCAAAGTATATAAGGATTACTACTGTGCTAAAATCAAAGACCAGGGGAGGCCAATGAAAATTATTAGGGACTAGGGCACATGATTTATGAAGAGAGGCTGAAGGAACTGGCATTATTTAGTCTGAAGAAGAGAAGAATGAGGAGGAGATTGAATAACAGCAGCCTTCTACCTGAAGAGGGATTACAAAGAGGATGGAGATAGGCTATTTTCAGTGATGGCAGATGACAGAATAAGGAGCAATGGTCTCAAGTTGCAGTGGGGAAGCTCCAGAATGGATATTAGGAAAATATATTTCACTATAAGGGTGGTAAAGCATTGGAAATAGGTTAGTAGGGAGGTGGTGGATTCTCCATCCTTAGAGGCTTTTAAGGTGGGTTTAGCAAAGCTTTGGCTGGAATTATTTAGTTGGGGTTGATCTTGCTTTGAGCTAAATGACCTCCTGAAGTTTCTTCCAACCCTAGTCTTCTATAATTCTATGAAACAACCCCTGTACCTCAGATACAGCTGATCACAGATAAAGTATATTCTATTTACATTCAGACTATAGAACATTTTAGAGCCTATTCTATATTTGGTAACTTACTAGAACAAGGTAGCTTGAAATAACAATTGTATCCCAGATATTATATGGCAAGCTATTTACCTGTACAGGTAAAATACAAGAAGTCTCAGATCTTCAGCAGCTAAACTTAAAATGCAGTAAAAATAAGATCTCAAGAAGATCTGTTGAGTTGATGGTGCCCAAAGACTCAAGACAATGGTGCTCTCTGAAAGAAAGAGGTTAACTGGTCTGTGTAGACCCTGTTGGGGCTCACTCACTGTTCGATTGTGCATTTTAATGTAGTACTGTTTTAAAGAACACTATGTTAATCATAAAATTATAGGAGTGGAAGGAACTTTGAGAGTAGATCTAGTGCAATCCCCTACACTCATGATAGGACTAGATATTATCTAGACCATCCCTGACAGGTGTGTCTAACTTGCTCTTAAAAATTTCCAAAAGATGGAAAGTCCACAACACCCCTGGCAATTTATTCCAGCCCTTAAACACTCTGACAAAGGAAGTTTTTCCAGTGTCCTTGCTGCAATTTAAGCTCATTGCTTCTTGTCCTGTTCTCAGAAGTTAAGGAGAATGATTTTTCTTCCTTGTCCTTGTAACAACTTTATGTACTTGTAAATTGGTATCATGTTCCCTCTCATTCTCTCTTCTCCAGACTTAACACATTCAATTTTTTTCAATCTTCCCTCATAGGTCATGTTCTCTAGACCTTCAGTCATTTTTGTTGTTTTTCTCTAGACTTTCTTCAATTTGTCCACATCTTTCACAGAATTTTAGTTGTGGCCTTATCAGTGTGGAGTACAGAGGAAGAATTAGGCCAGCTCTACACTAGGGCTACGTCTACACTGGCCCCTTTTTCGGAAGGGGCATGTAAATTTCCCTAGTCGTCGTAGGGAAATCCGCGGGGGATTTAAATATCCCCCGCGGCATTTAAATAAAAATGTCCGCCGCTTTTTTCCGGCTTTTAAAAAAGCCGGAAAAGAGCGTCTACACTGGCCCCGATCCTCCGGAAAAAGTGCCCTTTTCCGGAGGCTCTTATCCAGTGTAGACGCTCTTTTCCGGCTTTTTTAAAAGCCGGAAAAAAGCGGCGGACATTTTTATTTAAATGCCGCGGGGAGTCGTCGTAG